AGGGTGTAGACCAACATGTAACTCAAAGAGTTCTGTTAAAAGCAAAATGAACACACCCCTTTGCTGTCAGAATGAACAGTTGTGGAAGTTATTTGCAGCATCCTCTGGGTATTTATGGATGCAAAAGTGAAAAATATTCTATTTACCTTCCTCACAAGTGGAGCCACTGTATCCTGGTAGACATTCACACACACCAGGCTTAATGCACTTCCCATGGTTTTTACAATCAGGTCTGCACAGAGCTGTGCAAAAAATCAACAGTGATCTTCAGATCATTAATTTGTGGATATGAGTTACCCCAAGCTAAATCAAAATGCCATACTCACCAGCCTGACAGTTATAACCAGTATAACCAGGCTTGCATTTGCAAATATTGGGTGCCACACACTCCATATTTTTGCCACATGTTTGCCTACATCTTGCTGAAAGACAATGAAGAAAACAAAGAAAGGAATAAGCAAAATGCAAGTGGCATTGCAGCACAACTGTGTCTTGCCTAACAATCAACAGATCACACAGAACCCATTAGGTCCCTGCCCATAAGTGGGAAGGTTGAGACACATGCAAAAAATATTTTTAAGTGCATCTGTACAACTAAAAGCCTGTAGGCTGTGCCAGTATTAATAATGAATATGAGAAAATGCAATACTTTCTGCATTTCACTGATCACACAGTAACAATGTACTTTAAAGTTATAAAGGTGTCACAATGTATTTTTTTTAGTGCAGTTTCGTGTAATACCTCTGCAAGTGAAGCCATCTCCATAATAACCATAAGGACAACGACCGCACTTGATGCTTCCATCCGGACTTGGCTCACAGGGTACACCAGGAAAACAGGGTAAATCGGTACAGGTTACTGCTTTGGGAATCACTACTTCACTCAATTCTTCAGGAAGTGATTTTGGTGGGGCAGTGATTTCCACAAGGACAAAAGGTAAAAGACTCGCTTTCTGCTTGGATGACAGGTGCTGAACTCCGTAAGCATTTCCACCTTTCAATACCTGGCTTGGCAAAGGAAGCCCTTTGCTTCTATTTCTTCTGCTGCTAGAAGTCGTCTTCCTGGTCTCAAGGTAGCTGTAGGCCTCTGCTAGTGCCCCCGTTTTCTTCTCAGGTGATACAGCATGGATCCCTGAAGATGCAGCCCTCACAGCATGTACTGAAGAACTTCCTTCCATGTTAGCAAGGTGACCATTGATGGTGCTGAGTGCATGAACAGTGTTCCCAGCATCAGCAGGTTGTACAGAAGCACCTCCCTGGGAATTAAGTGGCTTCCAAGCAGTGACTGTGTTTGCTGTGGAAGCTGGTGGAGTGCTGCTACTGACCATTTCTGTAGAAATGTGTCTCTTGGGGACATCTGGAGAACTGGGGGTATAGCCTGAGATGCTTAAAACCTTCTTAAAGGATGATTGTTGAAAACCTATAGTACGTAAGATAGAAAGCAGGGAAAAAAGTATGGGAATATTATGATACTTTATTCCTTCCGAGGGTGGGGAACGTGTTCTGAACAGAAAAACATACAGCCAGTTCATTCTGTGCTTTCAAAATTCCCTCCATTTGCTACATCAGAACATACCTATGCAGCAGAACCTAACTCCTAACTGGCAGAACTGGAGAAGATCAAGGTATTCTGGTTACATCCTTTCCCAACCTCACCATAGCCTTTTCAAGACTGTAAGATAAGGACAAAGCACCATATATATGAGGCAGACAGCAGAGATTTTCCCACACTGGGTCAATAAACAGCTTTACTGTTAGAGCGAATTACCAGCTCTGTATACTGCTTCCAACTAGGTAACTGAAAGAGAATTTAAAGAAAACATACTGCTTATGGTTATATGAAAAGTATATCATACTTAGACGTGGTGTGCCTAAGTGCTAGTAATCAGCCTGGAGTCTAGAAGCGGTATTTCATCACAAGTATGTACATGCTTATACTTACTGATGCACCACGAACAGTATTTTAGGTGAATAATACACCACCTTGTAGCAAAAGTATTCCCTTGTTTACTCTCCAAAGTTTCTGCATGGGTTTTGTTAGTTGGATGTTTCATGTGTTTTATAAACAATAGAGACTGACTCAGCCTCCTCCCTGAAAGGAATGCAAAGTGAATGAAAAGCTCTTCATATTCTGCCCAGAAAAAAGAGGTGGTCTGTTGGGTTGTGAAAAGGAGTACGGCACTGTAATCCCAGAATGGCAGAATGCCGTATAAGGGCTTTCAACATTATGGAGCAGAGGAGGAATGAAACTGGAGGAGATTATCCAACCTAACGAGCTCTGTCTGTAACCCCATTTAGAATGGTTAAACTTTACTCAATCTTATTACAGACTGCTGTAAAGCAAACCATTTTGCAGCCAATGAAGAATTATTCAGCACTGGCGTCGGAGAGATAATTTTCCTCCTCTCCCACTAACAATTCAGAGATAAAGGGAAAAGACACATGAGAATTTCCTGCAAAGAAAGCCCCAGCAGGCAGAGATCTGGAAATGCCAACAAGAGCATTAATGAAGTTTTGGAATGAAGACATTCACTTGCCATATCCTTCACCTTTGCTTTGAGTTAAAGTAGGAAAATGGCATTCAACATAATGCCATAAACTTTTGCTTATCTCATATAACAGATGTCCCTATCCCCATGTTACCTATTTTATGTCAGTGGTTAGTCACAAAACCAAAAGGCAACAGTAAGAATGTCATACATCACACTGTAAATAAAATGATTTGACTGACCTAAGGGATTTGTTGATACTGACATTTCAGTCTCATTTTTCAGATCAGAAAAAAAAAAAAAGTAATGAATTAAATTCAAACTGAAAAATTAAAGTGAAAAAACATAAAACTGACTACAATCTTTATTTGCCAGCTATTATTCTTATCAGTATGTGAATCAGAAATACCATTTTCCTCATGAAAAAAAGTCACCTTTATTCCTTCCCTTTTCTCCTGTGGAATCCTTTCTTTCAACATTAGTGTCTTCAAAGCTTTCTAAAAACAAAAGATGTGCAGGCATATTAGTACCTACTGTTGTTTCAACTGCAAGTAAATTACAAACAAGAGTCAAGTTTTAGTACATAAAAATAACTCAAAATTCAGAAAGCAGATAAAGAGTAAAAATTGTTTCTTAGAAGTTTTCAATAGAGTATTTTAAAAATACAAGTAATTCAGTAATTGCATTGTCAATAAATGTTTGGGCATCTTATTTGGCATGTGCCTTGATTTGGGGAAATAGTTATATGTCAAGGAATCCAACAGCAAAATATGTTATCAATAATTGCTCATATTATGAAAACAACGCAAAAACATTTATTGTATTCTACTATGATATAAAAGAATTGGGCTATTTTTTATCTGTTTTTTCTAGTCACCTAAAAAAGCGTGGCCTAATGCAGTCTGATATTGTCACCAACTCAGATTCTGTCCCAGCCATCAATAGTCAGAGACACAGTCCTGCCTGGCTGACTACTGAAAAGAGTTCTAACTTCCTGTTAGAAACATAAAGCACAACCAAATACATTTTAACTGAATGACAATAAGATAACAGTATTCTTCTAAAAACCAAATAATTTTACCATAACATGACTTTCCATCTCCTTGCAGATTATTTGGGCATGGACCACAATAGTAAGAACCAAACGTATTGAAGCAAAATACTCCAGGGAAGCAAGGACTGGATACACATTCATCTGCATCATCCTGACAATTTTTACCTGCATTGAAATACAGATTTTTTTTTTTTTTAATAACACTGTGTCACTAAACTTTGACAGTGTGTTTATAATAGATAAATGTAGAACTTATGTACATGCTGAAACACAAAATGGGAATCTATCAAGTGCAACAAAGTATTTCAGTACATCCAGTAAGTACAGAGGACTAGATTTGCTATTCACATTTTTTCATCTTATATCAAGTATCTTGCTTATTGTGGAATATGGAGAAGATGGGCTGTGGGGACTACATGTGCATATGCAGGCACAGGAGGAATCACACTGTAACCCAACTCATCACTCCTATGTTTCACCATGTTGCCGAGTTTACCTCTGGGGAGGAAAACAATGGAAATTTGCTCTCATAACATAAACAATCATTGTATTAGTGCAAAAAAATATCTTCAGGTATATCTGTAACTTTATCACAAGACCATAAAATTTTTTCATATTCTAACAGTAAGCTATTTACAGTCAAAATTTTTTTTAAAATGTAGGCATAAAATTAGAAACTCGTATTTATCACTAAACGTGACAAATGTGTGTAAATAAAGTAGCAATTTACCTTGAAGTTCAGGTGGACATTCACAGTAATAGCTGCTTACTCCATCTACACATCTGCCAATACCACACTGGTTAAGTTTACAGTCATCAGTATTCACTTGACAGAGATCACCTTCAAATCCAGCCACACATACACAAAGATATCTTCCACTTCCAGGTGGGAAATCAATGTTTGTCACACATGAGCCATTATTTAGGCAATCACACGATTTTACACTGACCTAGAAGACATGCCCAATAAGACAGTTTTCTTTTTCAAAATAATCTCGCAATGAGATTTGTAATTAGATACCTTAAGCATCTTACTAGTATGTGTCATTTTACTGTAATATTCATTACCTCTATTTCTATCTGAGTCTTTGCATTGCAGTCATCTGTCAAAGAAAACGTTAATTTATGGGGATTCATTGACATAGCTTTCCATAAAAGTAGGCCTGATGGGGAAAGACTGGCACCTTCTGGACCAGAATCCAAAGTGAAATGAATAGCAGAGCCCTCTGGATCTGAAGCCAAAAACTGATATACTAAATCTTCTCCATAAAACGTCTGTAGCATACCCTGAAAAGTTTCAAGGACTGGAGGCTGGTTGTCTGTAACAAAGGAGATATTTTCTCTTTTAAGCAGAAGTTGCAATATATGTATAAAAATTAAAAAGGACCGTATCTTTCTAGAGAGGAGGTCATATGTAATTATTTCTCTTAAATTCTGATGTCATTTGAATGGCACAGGAAAAACACATTGTAATGGTAACAACATAAACAAGAAATTACTTGTGCTAGACAAGATCCTGTAAAGATGCATTGTTTCTATACATAGACTTTACCAAATATCAACACTGTATTTTAACTACACAGAGAGAGTTTGCAGATGAAAGGATAGGAAGCTGTAAAACTCAAGAGGTGACTGCTGCTTGCTTTACGAAATTAACATTGTTAAGCAATACTTCAGAATGGGCTGCAGTGACTATCTTGGAAAAATGGAGCATGAGGTGATGGAGTAAGTCATTCCTTCACTGTTCCTTTTAAAGATTTCAACCCCACAAGTTACTCACTGGTAAGATATTTAGATGCCTGCAGTGTTTGGCTGTAACCTACCTGGCATCAGCAACTAGATTTCTAGAAACGCCAGGTAAAAACAAACAAACAAATCCCCAGCACCAGGACAAGTTCTGTGAAAGACAGAAGTAGAAGCCTCACTGATGAGAGCATAGGTTTTGAAGTTGGGACATAGGAAGGTGATTACGATTGCTAAGTTTTATGTTACAGTGAAGTGATTGCTCCAAGCAGGAACCCACCCACTGTGGCATAAACCATGAAGGGAGAAGAAGCTGTCATCAGCATTCCAGCAGTTAGATCCTGACACCCTGTTCCTAATATCATCCCATCTGGAGAAAAGGTGGTGCTCCTTGGTTTTGGGGAATTGCAAGGTGCTAATTAGGTTATGAGCTGTTAATTTTCGCTAGTTATTTGTGATGGCTACAGGGCAGAAGGAAGCCTGACTTACATATCTGGTCTGGAAAACAAAATACCATTTTCAGAAATTAGGAGAAACTTCAGATGAAAAAGAAGATCAAATTGGAAGCTGAAGTAATGGGTACTGAGCCTTAAATGAACACTTAACTAGTTAAACTTAAAACTTAACTATTTCCAGATATTTTTAAAAATATTAATTTTCAAATTGTTGCTATTAAAAAACTCTTCAGAACTTACTTTCAACAACTGACCATGTTAATTTTGATATGTCAGGTCTGCAGAGTAAGCAAGGGCTGGTTGGATTTGTGTCACCTTCACCGTAACAGAGTCCATCTATGTTGCATGTTTTCTCCTTTTAGAGAAATAACAATGTGATTGATTATTTTTTGGTTATCAAACAGTAAATCTGGATGAATTTGTAAAGCATCAAATAAAATCTAATCTATCCTGCACTTCCACTAGGCAGGCAACTAAGGTTGTTTTTAAAACTAAACTGACAGCATGTTTGGTTTTATTTAGAAATCAAATTAAGTGCTTTTGTTTTGATTTTTTTCCTTCAAATTTGCCTCATTCCAGCTTCCTTCTATGCTTATCACTTCCGTGCATGGAAAATTCCTGTTGGAAACAAGATTTTCCTAGATTTTTTTTTTCTGCCTGAAAAGATTCGTATTTTCATAATAATCATTAAAAGTAATTAAATGTATACCTTTAATGTACATAACCCAGATTCCTGTGGTTCACATGTCTGACAGGCTCCATCAAACAATACCATTGTTTTAAAGTTGCTGTAAGTGAATCCATCATTAGAAATCTGCAAAATGTATAGTAAAAATGGATTAACACATACATATATCAACATATAACCAGCGTGGACTGGTAGTATGATATTCAGCTCTTGGATAGGCACCTAAATGTAGCTGTTGAAACTCTCATAATAGACAGCAGAAATCTAATCAATCCTGCCAATCAGTCTAGGCAGCTATTTGACCAATAACATGTAGGTGTCTACTTCAGGGTAAATTGGATAGTGTCTATTGACCATATTGACTCAATCTGTATGAGATCTCAGACACCTACCCCAGGCAGAGATCATGCTTTTAGACTGAGCTCAACTCAATTTTCCCATAAATGTGTCTAATGTTATTTGAAATACTCTTGGATAAACTACCCAGCCATTCACTTCTACTGCTGAACAACAGGTGTCTCTAAGTCCTAAGTCATATCTACCAGTCCCCTTGCAGAGGAGCACTCTCAAATAGCACTCAGCACTTAAGCTTAGGTGAAGAAACTGTGACCCCAAGTTAAGTAAGCTGAGTTTCACCCTTAGTACCATTAAAAAAGGATAATATCTATGCAATATATTTGCATTTTACTAGGAACTTTAAGTGAATATTTGAAATTTCTGCGAGTACCTTTATTTGCCACCTGGCAATGGGTTTATCATCAACCAGATCCATGAAGTCAGACTGCTGGCCATCTTTTGGTAACTGGCAGTCGACAGTCCTGGCATTTTGGAAGGCAGCTGGCATAGTTAGAGGTTCTCCAGGAATCCATTGGTTACCACTATACTAAATGTTAAGACAGACAATCTCTTCTTCAGTTAAATGCATTATGAAAATATTTTTATCAGTGAAAAAACCATGTATTGCACAGTATTTGAACGACTAATGTCTCTAGAATAGAATGCAGGGGAAAATACTAAATGCCATTATTTGCACAGATAGATTTCTACCTAAGCCCTTTACTGTGGAAGAACAGGCATGGCAGTCTTTCCTGCCCCACGGCACCTTGGCACTGCATTGTCAAGGACAAACAGTTCTTCCAGCTGGAGAGTAATAGGAGGGTTAAACAGTGAGTACTTCTCTCACAGCACTGATGTGATGTATTGGTGCCTCTATTTCTGCTCCCAGGAGAGGTAAGCTTCAGTCGAAGGAACAGATGATGTTTTTGGCCGGGCACAGGTATCATTCTGGGTGTTGGGGGATAGTGGCAGTTAGCCATTAAACCCTTGCACAAGCCAATAGATTACATCACTAACGCTGTACATGTTTCTTCAAAACTGTGGTGAGGACAAGTCATCCAAGGATCTATCCTGAGAGTTCAGGATAACAGAATAGGGATGATAATGCTATTTGACTGAAGTGGTGATGTGGAAGCAGGGTTAGCAAACGGAACATAAAGTTAGATGGCAGTAAGGATTCAGGCAGACTAAGAATCAAGAGAACAGCAAGTTCAAAACCATTTTGAGCTTGACTAGGTTTTACTGAGCTGGCACATTTTTTCAGTTACTGGAGCCAATCAAGTGATTTATTCAATCCCAATCCTCACATGGGGAATCATCTGCTGATAAGGCCTTGTCCTTTTTTTTTTTTTTAACAAACAGAAAAATAATGGAAAAATAAAACCTTTTGCTGAAAAGACATATGACATTTTTGTGGCAATCAAACATTTGGTTTTTCTTTCACCCATACTCTGTTAAGGAATTGACAGCAAGGGTGAGTAAAAACGTAACAGCTGAATATTTCTAAATATGTTAATTTGAGAGCATTTGGTACCATAACCTTTGAAATGTGATGCAGTCCTTTTCTCCAGTAACCTTTTGTTATTAGCTGGAGACAAGTTCAGACTGTTTTTTCAGAAACATACTAAACTTTCAAAAAACCAGTTAAAAAACTTCTACATCTATTAGCATTTCAGCTTGTTAAGTTCATAGAAGAAACTTACTTCTCAGTTCAACATACATAAGAAGGAACTAAAACTGTATTTTCATTTTGGAGAGGGTAAACACACTCTCATCCTTTACAAAAAAATCTAAGTAAATTCTGGATCTGTGTAATCATAGGCCAAGTCATGCCCATACCTCTTATTTAGAGGTGTGCAGCTGACCTGCATCTGTGAGGTACTTCCATACAGAAGTCTCTGAATCACCTCTTTTAGTATCATGCACAAGACCTTTGTCCTTCCTAACATGGTAGGACACCCTATGGACAATGGATCTGATTTAATCTTTCTGAAGTGAAAATATAAAAAATAAGAAATCTAGTGTGTATTAGCTCTAAATTCTGCCAACATGCCTCTTTTATGAAATTTTTGATCATGTAAGTTTAATCTCAAAATATGTGGAGTTCTATATTATTGAAAAGCCATTGATACTTGCATAGTCACTATTACTGCAGCCTGAAAGTTAAAAAACCCCAAACTAAACAAACAAATAAACCCAAACATCCTTTCTTTTGTATTTTCAAGGAAAGAATTCTCAGCTCCTTCTCAATTGCAGGTAATAGCAGTAGTGTTCATTTTCTAACAAATAGAAAATTTTTTGTATTTAAGAGCCAAATACACCACCATAAAGAGTGCTACATCATATCATCTTCTCATGAGTGAAAACTGAGACATTTCAAACTGTGGTAAGTGAATTCCCAATGATTGTCTCACTGTGAGCTTGATTTAAAAGTCTTTCAACTTAATGGAGTGTAAACTTACTCTCGACTTTATCATGTCACACCAACTTGCAGATTAGTGGATACATGTTGCGTTTTAAGAAAAATCTATAGCAAGCATTGCTTAATTTGCCAAAATAAATTCAGTATTTGCTGGAACTAGGTAAGGAAAACTATTTTGCCTCAGGAACAAAAACTTCTCAATTGATTGGTTCCCCTTTCACCATCCGACCTGCATCATCACATCAGTAAAACCCATTTTACTTTTAAGCTTTTTTTATTCTCGTGTCTAACATGACATAAAAACTCGTAATTGCAGATATTTTATTCCAGGCTAAAACTTGTAAACTGCTTGTAAATTTGCCTTGAGCAAATTCTAGCTCTGAGTAACAACAGTCTCTCCATACAGATTCCTCTTAGCTTACAGTGCAACATTTTTAATCTGTTTGGAACCTGGTGTACAGAGCTGACATATATCATTAAATAGCCATGGTATTTTACCCCAGGGAAATGGACAACATATCAAAAATACCTTTCTCTTTTCATAACAGATTTGTTACGTTTATAACAGGGTTATTCCAAGCATTAGATTTGAGACAGAAATCCAGTAATGCCTTTAACCTTGCTGTCCTTCTTCACAGAAGTGGTACTTCAGTTCCTCTCCATAAGCACTTAAAAAACCCAAATGACATGTACTGGCTGTTATTAATAGAGCTGCCCTTGCCCTTTTCTGATGGATAGCTGCCATATGCTGTTATCTCCTTCTTGGCCGCTGAGCATTCCCATTATGTTTTGTATTTCTCTTATCACGGAGGAAATGGCAATCTTGCAGAGCCTTGAGTGTCTCCTCCAAAGTGCTGGGTCCCTTTGCTTTTAGCTTCTACTAAAGCATTGGGTTGTACTCACACCAATGAATAATATATTAGACATTTTTCCCCTCACTCTCTGAGAAGTTTAAGATGTAATTGTTACTATTTAGGAAGACCCACCTGTAATTTGACAATTTCACATTTCAGATTCAATGACTCCCTGAAGCCATGTCCAAAAGCTCTCACTGACGTGCAGTCATACAGGCGAATATCACACAGCCCAGCATTCTCCAGTTCTGTAATTTCTGGAGCCTGGCCTTCGAAGCAGAGATTAGACAATGAATGTCAGTATATTAACTCATTCTTATACATTTACATTAAGCAATATGTTTATTTCTCTATCCACCTAAGAAAATTGTAAATAATAAAAGCTAGGGCCAGCTGAAGAAGGCATAAACAGAAACATTTTTTGTTGTTAAAATGAATCTTAACTTTAAATCTAGGATTTTTGCCTTGAATATTATGAAGCAGTGAAAATATTCATCTGGTAACAAACACTTGTGAGTATGTGTTTTGCTTTCTTATCTATGGTTCCTTACACCGCATTTGCAGAATGAGATCTAAATGAAACTCATGTCCTAGTAATACGAATTGGAAAGGTTATGGTTACGCAATAATTTAGAATAGTATTTTTTTGGTTAAAGACTAAAAAAACCCAACATCTCAGGTGGAATTTATTTCAGGAAATAAACTGATAAAGATTAGAACACTTAAAAATAGTTTTTATGAAGCAAGACCTGTTTATTTGACTTCAAAAAGGAATAAAATATTTATTTTTATTGTTCTCTTAACTCTTTCTCTAGTTGCTTTTAAACAGGTCACTAAAACAAAACCACCATTGCAAAACAAAATATGAACAATTTTTGTTTTGAAGGGCTTTTGACTTTTGTAGTACTTTTCATAGTTTTCCAGTTTACCTGCTTAAATGAATTTCTAGTGAATGTCTTATTTACTGGGGGGGGAACACCAAAACCCTGTCCAGTTCTACTTGCTGCGCTTCTTTTTTCTTCACCATCAATTCTGCTCCCATCACATCTAACAGTTAGCTTAGAGATGTAACATCACCAAAGAGAAAAACATCCACTTACAGTTAATAAACAGGATCACACAGACTAGAAAAAATTAGCGAATGGATGGATGTGGCAGATCTCTCCTGAAGACCGCTTGTGGAAACACTGCTAATCTCTTGGGGCAACAAACTCAGCAAGTTGTAAATTTTTTAAATCTGCCATACCATAACCTAAGCCCATGTCTGGCCCTTAGGAAACAAGAAGACTGAATAGAAAACTATTATGGCTGTATTAAACTGGAACTAAATTGCTGAATAATGAGCAGGGCCACCGTAGGGAACCCCTGCCAGCATACAAAAGCAGGAGAGAAAGACAGCAAAATAAATGTACCTTGTTCAAACACTGAGAACACTACTTCAGTAAATCTTAGGTTTTTCCCCCACTTACCAGACAGTATGCTGCAATCATATGAGCTGTAGCCTTGAAAACATGCACAGCCCCATTCTGTGCATTCCCCATTACCACTGCAGAGACTGGGACACTTTAATGCTCTAAGTAGGCTCTCAACTGACCCTTCAAACTCCTGTTGGTTGTAATTTATTTCTTCCAAAACTCTCTTCTCACATTCGTTCTCTAAAAGAGCTAAAGAAGCTTCTGCCCAACTGAGGTCATCTTTCAGCAGCAAATCTTTAACACACATATTGACTGCATCCTCTACTCGCCGGCCAAGAAGGCCACCACAAGATCTTCCTATACTGGAATTAGCTATTGCCTGCTGGCACAGTAACAAAGCACTAGACTCGGTAAGGCCAGAAGGTGTGGGCCAAGAAGGAAGAAACTTTCGGTCTATGTCAGTGGCGTGGTCCTCTGGGAAAAAATAACTATACCTCTCCAAGTCTGTTTGGCTAAGACTTTGAAATAGAAATACAGGATGGTATTCGTAATAATTTTGGCGCTTCCTCCTATGTGTAAGAGATTGACTTTTGGGAATATGATTACTGTAACGGTGAGAATTTCTTCTAATGCCTGAGCTTGAAGTTCCTTCTCTTTCTACACGAGTATTTCCTACTGCGACTGCAGACACATGTGTGTTTACTAGTGATGTTTCATGAAGCTTGGTTTGATTATCCTCCCTCTGCAGAGATGTAGATGAATCCATTTCAGGTGCAGATGAACGTTTCTTTAAGCCTCTGACAAGATCAACAGAACCAAGATACTCAGCAGTGACATCCAGTCCTGGTATCAAAGAAAGATATCTACCATTTTCACTGTCTTTACAAAAGAGTGGAAGCTCTGATTTAGGTATTGTGTCTAGTTTATCTACTGATTGGTATAATCCAGCATCTTCAAATGTGCAGTCACAGAAGAATATTTTTCTAGAAGACGTTAAAGAAGCAGGTGTCTTGTCAAATAAGCTACGTCCTGGTGAAATTCTGGAGAAGAAAAAGATGAAACTGTCTCTGAACTTTCTTGCCCATTTTCCTTGTTTTAGCAAAGCATTAACGTTTGGTTTGCTTTTTGTTGTTTCTTACTTCCACACCATAGAACACAGAAGCTGTAGCATACAGCTATACTTCAGGACCCCAGTTAAATTGCAAAACCATGAGAGTAACTTGTGAGAAGAATTAAGAAGAGTGGATCTTTTTTGTATACCTTGATACTTTGTTCAAACCCACTCAAACTAGTCTTAGATAATATTACTTAAATAATAATTAGGCTCTTCAGTTTCAATTTGCTCTAAAACTATGGAATGTACTGATGACATTATAACATTAACTTAAAAGCTAATTCTTTTTTGTAAATTTAAATTTAAATTTTAAAAATTTATTTTTTTTTTTTAATTTCAACAAATTTTAAGAGTGCAAAGGAAAGGCTGAACCAGAAGTGATGACATTTCACTGGAACAGAAGTCTTTTGTTACCTCCATTTCTTAATAAATGAAAAAAGAACATTAGCATGGTTTGGGATTTCCACTCCACTTGCAGTGTGATAGTCATTCTCTGCACTTCCGTCAAAGGTGCCACAGAGTCCCACTGTGTGTCTGTAATCTGAACTGGGTGCCCTAAGTGTTATGCTCATTCCCCATTCACTCACATCAGCACGAACGAAAGCTCCAGAAGAAAACAAAACCTAAAAAGAGATTGACGATACCATCAGGAGAAACATTTTTGTTTTACTTAATAAAAACAGGTATGTTTGTTGACAATTGGAAAAGGCCAAGCATATAAAGACATCCCATTAAATTCTGGCTGTATGTATTCTGGATCAGACAACTTTTGTTATGTCTTTTTCTCGTAAAACCCTACGAATAAAAACCCCATGAATAAAAACCCCAACATCTCAACCTTTGCAGGCAACTAGGTGGTGCACTATAGGTCCATAAACTTCATCTATTGTTAGCGGGTATGTTGGGGAAGGTCAGTGACCACAAAACCACACAGAATCAAAAATCAGCTGGGCTGCTCACTCTTCATATGCTAGCTAGGCAGATAAAGACTGGACATCAGGAAGAAATTCTTCATGGAGAGGGTGGTAAAGCACTGGAACAGGTTGCCCAGAGAAGCTGTGGATGCCCCATCCCTGGATGTCTTCAAGGCCAGGCTGGATGAGGCTTTGAGCAACCTGGTCTAGTGGAGGGTGTCCCTGCCCATGGCAGGGGGTTGGAACTAGATGATCTTTAAGGTCCCTTCCAACCCTAACCATTCTATGATTCCATTATTATATAGAAAGGGATGATTCTGGTAACTGGAAGACACCTTGGCAGCACCTTTTTCATGATCCCCTGTGTATCTTAACATGGAGTCACTTTCTACCTGTAAAGATGATCCTAGATTTTCTAGACAGCTCAGAGTAGTCTCAAGTATTTACTATTTGATTTTAAGCAACTTTATAATCTCTTGAAAGAAATACTAGAAGTCTCAAGGAGAAAATGTACAAGTTTAAATGCTGTTTCTATTACTAATCTGCTGTACGAAGCTGAGCAGGTCACTTCATTTTTCTGGTTCCTCAGCATCCTTTTAATTTCGGTATTGCCTAATGTCATATTAATATTTAATATCTGAGCTCTTCAGATAAAATTTAAATATTTAAAATTGTCTTATATCAACAGCCAAACCCAAGTTAAAGAGGCATATCTGGTTTTGTGGCTTGCCTTCCCAACCAAGAGACTGAGTAAAGAGCAGTTGAGGGCTTAATTTTTACATTCTACTTCATTTGAAGTTCAGTGGAGTCCTACAGCAATTCTATCTACAAAAGAAAAGCTACAGGAAATTATAAAAGCCAATGTGAATTTTTATCTGAGGGCCATATTCTCCAGAGAAACCATCTACCCTTCTAATTCTGTGGATTTGGCATACCTTATTACCTGCATGCACAGCCTTCCTAAATTACACTGACATGAGCAAAACAGAGTACACTGAGATCTCATTTTGGAACATTAGTAAGTGCATACTGAATCTGAAAACTGCACCTTCCACACAAGGGCTGTATACAGTGATTGATCACATGGTTCCTGAAATGTATGTATGTTGACAACTTGTTTTTGAGAACATTCGTCACTTACAAGCTAAAAAGTAGCTTGTAAGTAAGTATTTTGCAGTTGTCGTACTTTGTGGCCAAAGTACGACAACTGCAAAATAAACATGATATTACTAAATTGCAGAAAATAAAGCATGGTTTAGTTATGAAGTTAGTGTGAATTGGTAACAATAATTGCTGAGATAACCACTATGTCCACAAGCAATTATTTACTACTTACTGTTACTTTTCTTCCTAAGTAGGATTCAGTGATTCTGACATTGCTTCCCCTTGTGTCTCTACTTATTACAGATAAGTGCGGCTGTGACTCACGTAGCTGACCACTGCACATATCAAATGCAATTATATCTCTTCCTTCTTTGGCAACAAAGCCACAGTTACAGGATGCTGGGTAGTGAAGACTTCCACAGTCCCACTGGCGAACATGAACTTCAAAATCTCGAGATGTACTCTTATAGAGAACAAACGTTCCTGTTTCAAAATTGTCATAGAGTCTGGAATCAAAAGAATAGTGTATATCATTTTGGTTATAAAACAACTGTATCACATGTCAGCAACTTTATCTTAACAGATTTCTAATTTGGTGAACTTTGATAATGCAACCCTTTTTCCTGCATCAGAAAAAACAAACAGTACAACCCACAAACCAACACACAACTTTGTTCAGAACAAGCACCGTCATATCTTCCTCTGTGTGGCTCTCAACCAAAAAAATTAAATGTGTTTTACAGAAGAAAAATAAGGAATGAAAGAAGGATCATGAGTGGAGTATATGTAGACAATGGTTGTTAATGGAAACATAACCATTAACATAACCATAACATAAGCCACTGTCATCTTTCATATTTCTTTTTTAACAGTGCTTATGGCTGGGAACTGGAAGGTACTTCTCAACCTTTGTGTTTCTACAGCAGTACACTTACGCAGCAAGAGCAGTAAGATGCATAGCAGTGTGCGTGTGGGGGGCAGCTGCTGAAGAGTGCATAAGTACCCTTGACAAAATGATCTAGAAAGTCACGTAGTTTTAAAAAGGTCTTCTTTATTAAGATGGAGATGGGGAGTGCTTTTTCCTAAAGATTTGAAAATTATTTAACATGAAAACCATAAATAGCGACTTTTTTTTTTCCTTAGGGTTAGCCATCTGGTCCCTGAAGCAAGGTTAAAATAGCCAATTCAACAATTCCCGGGGCGGGGGGGGGAAGAAAGAAAAAAGAAAAAGACCCCAAGTTTTCCTTAAGTTTAACAGCCTCTTGGCTGTAAATGGCATTTGACAGTTAATTGCAGAACAGAGATTTGGTTTGTGTATTATGGGCCAGCAGACAAAACTGCAGATGGCTAACCCTACTGGGATTGCACAGGATTATCCATGATTCAGTAAAGACAGTTCCTTTTCCATTTGTTTCCCCAGTTTGTAAACTAAAGCAGCAACAGACTTTCTCCTTAAAAAGAAAGTCCTTTCCTAGCAGCACCGTTGCTTCCTAAGAAAGCTTGATTGCAGTATGTCAGTGGTTAAAATGCTGAGTGAAGCCATTCCTATAATTTCCACTGACGGACAAATTGCAACATCAGGATAACCCCGGTGACTTTATTATTATTATTGCTAGTCACAGTCCTATCAGAGAAGCAATTACAACTTGAATTTTCCCTTCCACTATCAAGTTCACAAGAGGAGTGGGGTTGTGGGCTGAACATCATTTTTTAGAGGCAACATATCCTCTTCATCTCACTCTGCCACTTGAAGAAACGTATATTCTCTGCTCAGCAGAAGCACAAGTCCATGTGTGGAACCAGTGTTTGTTTTGACACCTTCCATGAATTAGAAACACTTTGAAAGACAGAAGCATACAAAAACCATGTCAGTTGTAGCCAAGGAAGCTGTCTTCACTTCAGAAAGAGAGTTAATGATGTGCAAGTGACAACAGCCAGGAAGTCACTTTGTTAATAACTTTCCATTAATAACTCAGCACAGTGTTACATAGACAGCAGACAGCTTATAGCAACTTGAGCCTTACAGGGATTCAGATACTGACAACCAGAAATAGGGAAACTATGCTGTTGACATGCTTGGCATACTTCTCTAAAAACTGAAATAGTCCATTTGCTTCACTCTTTTGCCACAATGCAAAACTTGCATTTAGAGATACAAATATTACAAATATCATCATGACTGGCCAACTTTTACTAGCTACAGCATGTTTATCCTTATTGTTCAAGCAAGAATATAAAATGAGAACACAATTGTGGAAAACTACAGCTAACTTGTATCACCAGCACAGACTTTTTTTAAATAAATCAAACCTAAAAAGCACTTAAAATTAAGAGCATCAATCCAGTGATTACCTTCCATCAAATGTAATTATATGAGGGTCAGTAAATGAGTAGCAGTAGGCAGTGGGCAGGTCCTTTACTGTAATCTTCAAAACAAAGAAGCACACAGTAAACCATGTCAGATTAAGAAATAAACAAACTCAGGCCCAACATTTATCTTACGGTACCAGTTTACATTCTAATAAACATATTATATTATACTTTTAACCAATCTAAGTAGTTATGTTAATATTCAAATGTTAAAAACAAACAACTAAATTCAAATGAAAACACAGCATTTGAATGAAAGTAAAACAATGGAAAATTAATCACAGAAATCTTGGCATGAGCCAGTCTGTAACAACTGAAATAGAAGCTTCATTTACATCAGCCACATTTCTGGCCTGTTGGTTTTAGAGAGCTTAACATGAATATCTTCAACCTGTGTGCTTTCAGGAACATAGCCTTTCCACAGGAAATTCTCACTGGATATAGGTTCGACTGCAATTCTGGTAATTCTGTCTCCATCCTGCATAAAGTCTGTTACAGCAGTGAAATAAATAACAGCTTGACTACAGATTCCATTACTGCAGGGTTTCTGGAGAAGATCCACATGACAAGAAGAAAGAGCCAAGTTTAAGCCTAACTGCTCATCACCTGTTTAAATGAAAACACATCATTAGTGAGTCTTCCTCCAAACAAGTCACATTTTGTATATTTCTGTTAACATAGATACTAACTTATTTAAAATACTTTCATAAATGAAAATATCTATGTGTTTTCCTTGCATTTGTCATGCAAAGCCCCCTGTCTACATCTTCATACACACCCCCAAGACAATGGGTTTGAATTTTCGAGTTTGATAGCCAAATGGAAATCATGACAGGCTTGCTGATGCTACATAAAAACAGTTGTTTGCATAGGCAAGGCTCCTCCTGGGGCTCACAGGACTTGTGCTTGAGTAAGTACTACAGGAAATAATAATAGTAAAAAATGACTTCACAACTGCATATACAATACTCTCAACACAACAGGTCAAAATGAACGGAATTACAAACTTCGCAAGCATTACAGTATTTTGGCTATTCAAGTTAAAGAATATGGCTCCAATTCCACAGCTGCCAAAACTACCTGTTAACTTCAACAAGTAATGGATTATGGGCATGTCCTTCCATACTATCAGTAGCGGTATATACAACCTATGAATATTTTGTTTCATCATTTTAGAAAGTATTTTACAGTGTAACTACTTTTTCAAAGAAGCAGACCAGAGAGAACATTAAAAGAAAACACATTAAACACATAAAATGCAACAAAAATCAGGATAATACTTACCTTCATCAACAGTGTTTAATGTTAGTGAGATTTTGCAGTCACTTTCAACCTGGCTAAACTCAGGACAAGGAATAGGAATATTACTTTTTATTTCCAGTCTGTATTCCTTCCCATCTTCTGCTATATCATATGTTTCTGGATATATCTAGCACAGAAGAAATTGTGCTTAAAATACAAGTTTTCTGGGTGAATCACAGTATTGCTTCCTAACTAATTAGGAGTAAAGTATGAAAAGCTAAAGACTGAATGCCATGGAGCATGGCCTGCTCCACTTGATCAGGCTTATTTAGATGGTCTGAAGAGAAGTGGCATACTGGGGAGAAGGTGAGGACACAGCAGCAAGAGTCTTGAGAATAAGGGGCAAGGGCAAGAAAAAGGCTAGCTACAAAGGTAAGGATTGAACAAACCACAATAATACCACAAAAACATATTCTCTGGGTAACTTCTGGAAACTAAAATACAAGCAATTTGCTATATTCTTTGGGAGAAAGCTACCTACAGGCAATAATGTCCCCAAAAAATTGGGAAGCACCATATTTCTCCTGGGATTCCTCTCTGTGAACTTACAACATAGCTCACTACATAATCAAAAATGCAACTAGAGGTGTATAATAGAGGCCTACAACCGAGTGTTGTACATTGGGTGAACCAGTATTATTCTCAACACATAATCATGTGAAGTAATGTCTGTCTGGGATTCTGGCCCCATTCCTGGCCAGCAAATGGGTCCCTGTAGCTACAGCCACAGTAAGAATTAAAATGAGTTTGGACCCTGGCTTCTGACCCAGTGTCATGGCCCTCCTCAGATTAAACATACAGTGTCAGAGTCTACTCTAGCCAACAGAGATTGGAGCTTTCACCACGTTGTTTTAACTTCCGTGAGCTGCTGATTCAGCATTCTGCCACCTTGAGTACATACATGGGGAACATAGAAACAAAGCATAGAAACTTTGACTCTCTTGCTTTTTGGCGAACTTAAGTACAGCCAACATGTTTATTAATTCACAATTAACACATTTTGAGTGTCTTCTATTCAGCAGACTAACTGCTGTAGCAATACTCAAGAAAGACTCCTACTACAATAAAGTAAAACATTTTCTTTTAAAATTACCTTAATGCCAGCAAAAAATTCCTTGCTCTCAACAGAAGAGCTTTGTATATCTGGCTTCTCTATGAAAAAAGCAGAACTGCTACAGTAGACCTGCAGGGCAAAACCAGAACAGTAAAATACATTTTTTTGGTGTAAGTGGTCATATGAAGATAAAACTCATCTGTCATGGGTCAGTGTGAAGAACTCAGCATGCATTCTGTTTGCACCAGAAGTTACTAATTGCCAGTCATGCTGCTTAAGAAAAACACAGAAACAGATCTAACTTTTCCTGGCAAACCCCACCACTGGTGCAGACTTCTTCAGCTAAAGGCTGCATATGAACCATCACATTTAAGAAGCACCCAAGTCCCCACAGATTAAAAAAATCCCTTCTGGAGCATTTCTACACCCCATGATGTCTTGTAGAAATGCATTCTATCTTTATTACTTTATTTGATCCTTTTTGTCCGTTTCATGTTTGTTGCCTTTTAATTTTGTTGAGTGCCCATTAGATCTTAGATCATGCAAAACAACAATATCCTTCTCTTCCTCTTCTTACTGTACATTTTTTCCTGGTGTTACAGGCCTGGATAGGCTTTTTCAAGCTTAAGAATTTACTGTGATTTCCCTCCACTGAACCAGTTCCACGCTACCGGACACTGTGGTTATGCTTTTTATGCTTTGGTTTTGGGGGGGGGGTTTGTTCATTTTGCTGTATCCCTTTAGAAATGTGTTGACCACACAGGCAATATTTGCGATCCTGAGAAAACCAAGGATTCATAGCAGCAGTGGGTAATTTATGATGTGTCTTTCCTATTGACTGTCCCTGAGCTAACACTGTGAGGCAACTATTCACAAAGTCCCCAAAGAATTTCTGAGGATTAGCAATTGCTTTGTTGTCCATAAGCCATCCAATCACCCTGGCTTTCACTTGAACACACATGCACACACACCTGCCATGTGCTTTTTTGTTTTGGCCAGGAAAAATTAACCTGTATTTTGGTATATACAAGTAGAAAGCTTATTGATTTACCAATGTTTAAGCTTCTCAAAGTTACCATGAGAGCCTAGATCTTGATTCTGCTACCACAGAAGGTAATGCTTTTCATGGATGAGATTAAACCATATACACCTGATCCTAGAGACAAGCCAGCAGCAGCTCATTATTGATTCAGAGAAAAGAAACCTATCATCTAATGAATCAACAACACAGCTTCTCACAACCTCTAGCCCTTACAACCTCGCACTTAGATGCAGTTGCATCCGAAAATCCTCTTAATATGGAGTATCAAACAAAATCACAGTAGAGGGTGAAGAAGATTCAACCTGAATAAATATTTATCTCCGGGAGGCAGGCTATGCTATGCTGAGACAGACAGTCTCAAAATATTAATGGCAGTGGTAATTACTGGTATATTCTGTGCCATTTCCAGATTTATATGGGCACTGTTGGTGTGAACAACTAGAGGCAGTATGCTTCTGCCAAGAAAAACGATACAGCAAAGTGCTGGAACTCTGTCTCTAACAACTATTAGTTTCTATTGAGCCATATTTACAAAGATACAAAGAGATTGTAATTATTTTTTAACATACTCTGTCTCCAAGTCTGATGTTCTTCCCATCTAGTTCTAGAAGTGAGAACATATGAACCGCTGTCTCACGTTTGAGTTCTTCTTTGACACCTTCAGGAGAAAGTCTTGACCAAGTTACAATGAATCCAACCGAGCTGTTTGCAAAAGGAATGCCAAAGGTACACCTTAGGTAAATGCTGCCTTTGATCAACTCTGCTACAACTTCAGGAATGGCTGGTAGAGGTGGTGGTGACACAGATGGAGATGATGAAGGAGCCAGTTTACCTAGTCAAAAGGAAGTTTGGTTTGTGCTTTTTTGTACAAAAATAGTATCGGATGAAATGATACTGACGTATATTTTGTCAATTAATACACAAATAATTAGCTTTTTTCATATATGGAAATATCACATAATTGCTTAGAGTATCAGAAAATGTGTATGTTCCTTGGATTACTAAAAGGAGAAAAAAACTTCTTTATCAGCCTTTGATTATAATCTAGCCAATAGGAAGGTGCTGAAGAGGGGAAAAAAATATTCACCAACAAGGGAATAAAACAAAATTAATATTTTACCAGAAAGCAGAAAAAGCAACATGCAAAGGAATTTATCTGACAGACGAATATTTTCTCTGTTTATGAAAAAAAAGGGGGAAAAGAAAAAAAAAAAGAAGAGGAGGGATGGGGCCAAAAAAGGGCTACGTAAAAAGGAACAGAATAAGCAACAGCATGATTTGTAGTTTCATCTTATATTTGACTCCTAGAGAATAAAAATAATCTGTAAAAAGTAATTTTAATAATGCTGATTTAACATTTTGGTACTTATTTTGAACATTATGCTGAGAAAGTACTTTGTAATCCAAGGTCTGAAATTACCTCCAAATTGCCTATTTTGCAAGAAACAGAGCAATACTGTTCATAACATCAACATGTTTTATTCAAGACAGAATATGACTAAATGTTGACATAATTGGGTCATAGATGCACAGAAAAATCTTGACAATCAAAACAAAATACTGCTACAGATGCTTTGAATTTCCATTCCCTCAGGACCACAGGTCTATGGCTTTGCATTCGAAACAACTATAAATTGTTCTTAAATTGTATACACATACAGAGTCCATACACCAATGCTCTTAAATTACTGACCTATGTTAAAAAAACACCACATATCACAAGACACTAACTCAAGTGTAAATTGGCACAACAGAAGCAATCTTTTAATCCAATCCATATACAATTATGGTAACTATCAGTACAGTCTCGTGTCAGAAATCACAAGTAGATTGGCTACACCTAGGAGGAAGGGTACAGAACATTCTACCACCTCAATGTCTTCTACTGCAGATGTACCCACCAAATACTTACAGATGTTGTTAGTGAACAAAAAGGTATTAAAACTATTGCCTTGAATATTTATATTTATCTCCTCAAATCCACACCTGAATGCTTATTCATTAAATGTAACCCTAGACAGCCAAATCCAGTGCAGACTGCTTTGAAAAAAAAAGAAAAAAATCATCTTTCCTACAGGGGCCTAAGAAAAAGTGCTTGTGCACTGCTATTTTTTGGTACTTTGAATGTTATAACTTTGATTAAACATTAAAATACCACCAAATTTGTAACTGGAGTAGAAAAGAGGTTAGTCACTCTGCTCAAACTAAGTCAAAAGGGCAGCAGCAACACTGAAAACCCCGTTCTCCAAAAAGAATGAAAGGCCGATTTTTATGTTCAGTCAGACATTTGAATTCCTTAGAATACAGAGGAGAGACTGAGAATTTGCACCGTGTTTACAGCTATCAATTGTTAAACAGAAAACACACGGCACATAGTAACTTAGACACAAAATGCAGCACAAGAGTACAATGCACTTTACGTGAGACCATCATCTTCAAAGGCGGCTTTTAAACTCAAAATGTCTTTCAGATTTACAGTAGTCAGAGCCAAACCAAAGTAACGTTTCTTGGCTAATTTGTTTTGACGCAGTAAAAATTTGCTAGCTTGCTGCCTATGGTTTTTATATCCTCTTTCCCCTTCATAAGCCATCATCCAAAGTAAATGCAAAGTCCGATAGTGAAGTTCTTCATTCCTTCAGTGACTTGCATGCTGAAATGTCTCATTTCTGGGTTTTGGGTTTTTTTTTTTCCTGTCAATAAACCCTTGGAGAATGCCTTAACAATTGGACCTAAAGGTGCAATGATGGGCCAATAAAGCCCCAGAAAAATCTACTGATAGTTTTGCGATTAAGCTTTTGAAAGCAGACAGTAATAGAGAACATGACTTAGAGCAAGACAGTATATGATGCATGAAAATATTGCTAGTTTTCACAGCGGTATGTTTTATGAGCTAATAACTTTCTGCTACACTAATTTGTCACTATTTCACAGTATTTCTAACTGTAAGGATTTAATCATGTTAAGTTACCTAAACATCTGTCATGAATAATGAAGTACTGAAGTTTTGAGCTGTGAACACCAACAAACTTTTGCAGCACAAGGGTCTAAGGCAACGCGAGCCATTGCAAAAGCACCCCAGTTCTTTCTCTCAGGACTAATAAAGTGTGCATTAGTAGAACATTTCTGTGTTGAATTTTCTTCTATCAATAACATTATTTAACTCTCTTATCTTTCTGGAGAGTATAAGTAAAAAAATATTCATAACAATGCTAAACAATAATTGCTAAAAACACAGTTTGGTCAACTTCTTAAACCAAATTTACTTTGACACATAATTCTATGCATATTTAGTAACGGGTGTTTGCAGATTATGAGTGCTATTGTAGATAATCTGAATTTTGACACCTAGATGTGTCTTATATGGAAAGTTTCAATTCTTAAGTTTGTGGGCCTTGAACAATACTTGAATGCTAAATGCAAGATAAAAAGGGGTGGTGTGAACCTACCTTACCACACCACATCATTTTTCTATCATATCAACATTAAAAGCAAGGATTGCAAGAAATGTAGGCATGTGTATTTCCAGACAATTCCAGAGAATTGTCAAATATTAGGGAAACACATGGAGCCATAAACACACACACACTTAGTGGAGTTAGAGTACGTGTTTTCTTACCTTCTGCACAGTACCCCATGCATCCTTGGGTGGGCTGCAGTAAGTAAACAAAGAAATCTCCGCAGTTCCTCACACTGACAGGGATTCGGAAAAGACAGCAGTCTTTTGAAGTGCTGAAGTAAAACTGCCATGTAGCACAAGCTGTTAACTGTTTGATCTCACCAGGTGGAGGCATGGATTCTGACTCCCTCAGATACAACCAGACAGGGGCTTGAGTTCCACAGCGATTCATCTTCAGCACCAGAGAAAAACATCAGAAAACGGTTAAGGCTGTATCAAACTGTTGTTGTGCTTTAATGAGAGGTAGGTATGTACTCAATTTCATGCATGAGCTTTTAGCAAAGTTTAGGCACTATAACTGAGGACTTGCTTACATTCCTCCTCAAGGCTAAATACAAATACATACAAAAGAAAGTCGTTTCAGACTAATGAATTTGTGTTTCTAAAGACAGGCTATAATTTAGTGCCTGAAGAACTTAACTGGGAGCAACACCTGACTGTTTTGCCCCAAAAAGCTAACAGCTGTGTTACGGCTTAGTGAGCTACTCTACACCTGTTAACCTACGGTAACTGACGGTGTGAATGCCATCAGAGCACAACAGAGAGTACAACGTACACCGAGTATCAACTAAAGGTACAAAAGCTGACACGTTTTATCTGTCCTTTGCCATGGACTGGAGGCTCAGGTAACCTCCTGCGTTTGTCCTAAGAGGTGGTGTCAGCAGTTGCGAAGTTACTGACCCGCAGCCCTAGCCAAAAACGCAAGAGACCTCATAAACACTGTCTGCCTTTCAATTCCCCATTTTTAGAAATACATGTCCCTGTAGCACACATACCCTGACCCCATACCCCACCCTCCCAAACTACCACAATGACTTGTAGCAACACTGAATTCTTTGGTGCTTACAAAGAAGTGGGCTTCACAAGGTCTGTGGTTCAGATGCTGACTGAACAGATGATTTAAGAGGGGTGCTGTTCCCTCTCTCACAAACAAAAGCCTCGTTCAGTGCTTTTCCTCACTGAGTGAGGAGCCTGCTGTGGAACAGTCTCCTTCACCCCTCGCCACTGTGGCTGTAGGAGGTCTTCAGGTCAAGGAAGCTGCCATGTAGGCCACAACAGTAGTACCAATCATGGTAACCAAAGTGTAAGTCTAATTTAGCAGACACCAGAGTTTCCCAGTGGAATGCAGAAAAATTAATCCTGATAAAAGGAGGCAAAGAAGGAATCTGGTTCATCGGTTACCAGTTAAAGATCGCTTCCTTTCTTTCACGTGCTGCAGAAAGCAAACTGAAGAGAAACAACTAGAAGGACACACCTGGTGTGTTAACGCCAGTATTTGGAAAATATTTACATGAAAACCATAAATCTGAAAATGTGAGATTTTGAGAACCTCTTCTCCTTCATGCATCACCTCAAGTATTCCTTTTTTGACCTTACAGTGACACAAGGTCTCAGATCATCTACTACAAACTCACTGAGCATTTACTCCTCTCAAAAGTACACTTCTCTTTCTTAATCTAGAAGATCTTAGACCACCATTAATCCATCAGACAGACAGAATCAATGAGAAGTAGACAGAAATGGGATGGATTGTTTAAAAGTCTGAATCTTTGAAAATGGTTAAATATAGGTGTAATAAAGGTTCTCCTAAAGGGAAAGAAAGGAGAAAAGTTCGCAAACAAGACGTCAACTTTAGTTTAACATTTGACTTTGAGATTTCAAAATAAACGTCTTTGTTATGTCAACAGATGCAAAGAAGCAGATGTCAGTGCATAAATTTAATTTGCTGAATAAGTTTTGAATCAATCTCTTTCCAACTGTAATTATCTGAACTCCTCTGTATTAGGATGGTAGCCTATTTTTAACATTTACTAAACACTGAGAACTTTGGTCAGATTTCTAAAAGGTTCCTAGATGATCTGAGCACGTATCTTGCTAGTTGAACCTCTGTTCTGAAAAACACATTGTTTTTTCCCCTTGTTTATCATGCTAGTTCTTTGCATAGAAGTATCCATTTTAAGAAAGTACAACTAGTTAATTGATTTATTTGTATTAAATCTAACTGCAAGAGTGTCCTTCAGGAATCATATTTTTCAGTTTTTTGCAGTATAAAAGCCCGAATAACAGTAGCCTCGGCAACACAGCCCTCTCAGTCATTGAGTCAGCTGCATGTTAAAGGGACTTCAGTGGCTTTATACTGCTGTAAAGACTTAATAAAAAATAAAATTAAAAAAAACACCACAAACCAAGAGGGGCTACTCTAAACTCAATTTACTTTTATTGGTATATTTTAACTGTTCTGTATTCCTTTACATGTGTTTAAAAAAAAAAAAAAAAGAAAAGCCCCAAAATTAAAGACTGATCAGGCAATTACAGTTCATTAGAAAAAGCACAGGTAAAATATTCAAATTACTTTTTTTTTTAAAGAAGGAACTGTTAAAATAGGAAACTACAGAGCTCTCTCTCCTTAGAATATAACTATTACAGAGATGTTGGAACAGCTTCAAAACCAAGTATTACAAGTCTAAAGTATTAAATAGTCCAAGTAATTCTTGAGTCTTAAGGGACTTGCAGATGACAAGGCAACTCATCTTCAGTTAGTTCAAGACATTTCAGGAGTAATCTCTTCTCTCTAACATGATTGCTCCACAATCACTGGATTCATGCAAGTCTTTATCCCACTTTCACATGGCTTTCCTAACAGACTGACCATCACATAACTGCAGCTTTACAACATGATATCCCTGCTATGCTGCCAATGAGAAAATCTTCTTTAGCAATGACTACAAATGATGGGTTTTGAGTGCTCTAAACGGGATGTAATTTATCATCTGCTATTGCTCATTCAGTGTAAAATTTTCACTGCTTCAGACTTAATTGTCCAGTTAACACATTTTAATATACTCAAGTATTTAGGGGGAATAGGTACTCTACATTCCTCCACATCAGTCTCCTTAACTGTATTCTTTTTTTATACCTAACCTATTGAAAAAATCTTAAGAAAATATGTAATTTTTATAATCAAAAGAGTTGTAACAATACCTCTATGCACCTAGTCGGCATCTCAGCAGGCTTATCAAAAATCATAAAGCGATACCATCCTGGTGTTAGGGAATGGTCACATATTAAATCCTGAATAGCTGATTGCTGGAGATGGGATGAATCAAAATCAACGCTTCTGTAAGGGCTCTGCAGAATCTGATGTCCACTAGGAGAGCATTCAAAAACTGTGGAGAAACAGTACTTCGAGTATCAAGATGGAATGCCTAGCAAGTATGTTAGAAGAGACGTTAAGTATTTTTAACTGGAAAATATGGATGTATCGCAATATGATGTGAAGCTACTTTTACTGAAAAACATATTGAAGTCTTAGTAACAACAACAAATAGTTACGTTAGTGCTTTAAAATTTAACAAAATTCATCATGTGGTAACTTCCCCTTCTTTAAGTGGACAATAAATGCAAATTAATAACCACATTAGACATATGTTTATACTTGCTCTCTGGATTTTGACTTTCTAGTTCCACTGACATTTATGTAGCCTAATAACCTGGGAAAAAAATGGTGTGTCAGATATATGAGAGGATCAAAATCTTACCTGAAGAGGAGTAAGGATTACGCAAACGTCTTCTGTGAAGAGGCTACCACCCTACAGTGTTCCTATGCAAGAAAGGAAGGATTCCCTCAAATGGATGTGGAGTAGTTGCATACAGTTTCCATGTATACATGCAGATCATAATAAAAGCATGTATAGAAATTGGTAGACACTTAACTAAGTCTACTTGCATGGCTGACATGCTAAATTTTAATAAATAAATACAACTGACAATCATATTTTTGAGAGACCTTATGGCCTCAAAAAAAAAAAATCTCAGAATTGCTGATAGGTAAAATGAAGGATCTGAATTCGAAGAAGCCTTTATGAATCTTTTTTTAAATACAGACCTATTCAGAAATAAAGCAGAATGCCAGCTCTGGCAGCTGAGATGACTTCTGTCAAAGACAGTGACAATGAAAGTTCTGGCTAATCGCGTATTTGTATGCAACCTACTGAATGGCCATTCTTGCTCAGGAATGTGCTTGGGAAGCAAAAGTAAGTGAAAACAAACTAAAACAATGTTTATAAATAAATAGTATCTAAAATACACCCATCTATTTACCTTGCTTTTAAAATGTACACCAGCTGATGCTGACTGTGAATAGATTTTCGGGTTATATCGAATGACAGAATTAACATCAATTCTTGCCTCTACTATGCTACTAATGAATTAAAAAATACAGCTGCAAGCAAAGCTCTGTAATCTTACATTTTCATAGAACCATAGAATCACA